CCACCTGCTCCTCCAATATTTGGAGAGGTTTTGGGTCTTCTTTCTTCTTTTTTTTCGTCATGGGTGGGCCTGGGCTCGGGTTTTTTGGATGGGGGATTTTCCCCCCCCCCCCCCCCCCCGGGGCAGCTCTTGTAAACCTTTAAAGACGTGCATAGTTAATTAACAAAATTATATATAAATAGAAACCTGAGTCTCTGATTCAGAGAAGCAGCCTGTCAACCTGCTGGAGCTTGAGATAATTGCAAACCCATGATTCTATCTTTATCCTTATTTTGTATTTCACAAAGAAATATGGCTCTGAGTCAGCTTCTCAGTCTGACTCCCGGTGGCCTCTTTACCCACATCCTGGCTTTGCTTTGAGCTCAGCAAACACTGCTCCGTTTACATCTGGCTCCACCTTTATCTCCAATTCTGCAGTAACCCTGGCTTTCCTTTGGGGAGGTGGCCCCACTTCTCCGGGGGTGTGAGCTCCCCTGCAGTCTCACTTGGTTGGCTGTGAGATGGACTTCCTCAGCCTCCTGGTGGAGACTGTTTCTCTAGCCCCTGCCTTCTCAGCAGCATCCTCCAAAAGGAGGAAGAGGAAGCAGTCTTGGAAGATCTGTGTCCTTCCAAAGGGCCACAACACATAAACTGATATGCAGTGTGTTTGCTGCAAAACCCAAGCAGGAGAAAGAAATATAACCAAGCCAGCTTCCTCGCAGCTAGAATGTGGGTCCTCTCTGTCTAGGGAGATCCAATCTGGATGACTCCGAGTGAGGGAGATGTAGAAGGGCTTAGGCAGCCAGGACAAGGTGGCCAGTGAGGAGGCTGGGGACAGGGCCAGAACAAAGGGGCATGGAGAGGGTCTTCTGATGAGGTCAGCTTCCTGCTTGATGGAAGTGCTGGGGGCACAAGCGGGGGACCCAAATCAGATGGACACTTCTGTACGCCTTCCCTTAAGTGGGGAATCCAATAGAAAAACTAAAACAGATGCATGGACAGAGGGGCACCAATCAAAAATAGTGAGGAGCCTGTGGCCAGGGGAGGAGATAGGAAAGGAGGAAATTCCAAAGGCCACCCAGGTCAAAGCTGCCCCCCTGGACTCCCGGCTCCAGGGCCCCTCCTCTTGGGGAAGTCTGTGACTGTTGCTTTGGCCGTTAGCCCGATGCCGGCTTGTGACCTCTGTGTCCGGCTTTTCAGTTCTTCGCTGAGCAGAGACAAGGAACCCAGCACCCCTGGGTGGTAACATTAGCATCTCCCCAGAACCTCCGCCCTTGCTGTGTCCCCTCCCCCACGGGCGATTCACTGTTTGCCCTACCAGCGGGAAAGCTTTGCTGCTGTCACCCGCGGACACTCCACTGTCATCTCCCTCCCCCGCTCACATGGTCCAGAATCCACCCTCCGTCCCCAGAGTGGCCCCCTTTCCCTTAACTTCTGGAGGGTTCTGGAAAATGCCCCGACACCCCCTCACACCACCCAGACGATCGCCCCAAACTCTGATGACCGAACCTCCCGGCACCCGAGTTCTTCACGGGCACAGACACAGTTGGGGAGATGCCAGGTGAGGATGGAGGGCAAGCAAAGCCAGTGACCCTGCCTCTAACTCCTCACCAGAAGCCCAGGGGAAGGAGTCACGCCCCTGTTCTTCGTGGCTTTCTTCAGAATGTGAGGTTTTCAACTTGTTCCCAGCTTTGGGTCCGAATTATCCATTCAGGGGTCACAGGACTCATGACACCTTTGATTTCTTTCAGAACCAGGTGGACCCAGGTTTGCATCACCTTGTTAGCAGCCGCTGTGGCAGAATGCCCTGGGCCACACGGGTGACAGCGTACACCTTCCTCTCCCTATCCAAACCCAGCCCCCGCCCACACCCAGTCCTCATTCTCCTGGGAGGAAAGCGAACATTTTTTTCTTAATATGTATTTTTTAGGTGTAGATGGACACAACACAATGCCTTTATTTTTATGTGGTGCTGAGGATCGAACCCGGGTCCCACCCGTGCTAGGCGAGTGCTCTACCACTGAGCCACAATCCCAGCCCCGAAAAAGCGAACATTTTTTAACAATGGTATTGAAATCCCTGAAGTTCTGAGCTCAACCATCTACCCCTAGTAGGTGATCAATAAATGCTTTGGCAATAAGACTGAGTACAAACAGGCGCCAACGTTTCTCTGGTTGCCCTGCGGGGAAGGGAGGCCTGGCCAGCTGTTTCTCATGTGTCACCCCTCAGTGCAGAGCGAAAACTTGCACGATGACCACATCTCAGCAAAAACAGCTTTTAAGAAGGTCCATCTATGTTTGTCACCATCTGAAGTCAACTGTGCTAATGACCTTAATTAATTAATTATTATTATTATTTTTTGCACGTATTTCTTTCCTGGGAGGAGAATGGACCTGCACAGAGAGCAGACCTGCTTTGCCTCTGATTTTGTCTCTCCTTCGGGCCTGTTTACTTTTTTCCTACTTTTTATACCGAGTCCCCCAACTTTGGAAGTTGGCCTGAGCCAGGTCACTGCAGACTGACCCACAGCTGAAGGAAGGATGCAGAGTGGGCTGGGGGTTTAGGTTTTGGAGTCCAATTTCCAGTCCTCCTCCAGTCACGCACTAGGCTAGCTCTGCCATCTCAGGGGAATACTTGGCCTCTCTGGGCTGGTTCCCTGCTCTGCCAAATGGTGATAATGTCGTCCCCACCGTGTGGCTATTGAGGAGGTAATGGATCCAGCCAGCTCCTAAGATGGTTCACTATTATTTTTCTTTTCCCTGACCCAGAGCCTCGGCCAGAGGCATCCTGTCGTCTAGTTCTTTCCCTTTGGAGTCTGGGTGCTGATGCTTCCATTCACCACGTGAGAAAAAAGGAGAATAAAGAGAGACCATTCTCTTTTGCTCGCTACCAATTTATTTGGGTGACTTTTCTCTGTCATGGTTCACAAACTGTCCCTGAAGATCTGAATTCTTTGAGCACTGGGAACTTTCCGGTACAGCCCACCGAGGGCAGGTTGCTCCCCACCCCTGGGGCCTGTCTGCTCCCTTCCCGACCTGAAGAGTGAACTCCTCCCTCTCCCCTCTCCTGGCGCCAGGCCGCTCCCTCTGACCCTGGGCACCACTCTTTCCTCCTTTTCCCTCAGAAAGACACAAGAATTGGCCTGTTGCTGTGAGGGCTGGGGGTGGGGGCGACGCTGGGGGAGGTCATTTTCTTCCAGAGAAGTCTCGGATCCTGACAACTTCCCAGAGTCAAATCCAGAGCAGATGGGAGAACCGGAAGAGGCAAAAAATCAAGAGCTGGCTTCTGTGAGCACATCCCTAAGGGGGCAGGGTGTCTGCTCTGCCCCTGAGCCATATCCAGTCGTCCTGTCTCGGCATGGCATGGTCCTGCCCTGGGGACATGGATCTGCTGCACCTCCCTGCCCCAGAGGACCACACTCTCAGCCCAGACCTTGGGGCTACCTGTTCCCTAGCCTTCCTGGAGTCTGTCCCTGCTCTCTAGGTCGGACAGTCCTGCACCTGCCCCTCTCCTCCACCCTTGACCTTCAACTCCACGCTAACCTCCAGCCTCCAAGGGCTGCAGCCGCCCATCAGCCTCCTCAGCAGCTCCTGGAAATCGGCTTGGAACCTAGAGGATGAGAAATAGTAGACAAGGGGGTCCACGCAGGAATTCAGGGTGCTGAGGAGCAGCACGTAACTCCTCCAGGTGGGGCTCTGACCCTCGAGGTAGCCCACCAGGTGGGACATGTTGTAGGGCCCGAAGCACACGAGGAAGTTGAGCAGCGTGGCCACCACGAGCCCCACCACCCTCCTGCGCCTGCGCCGGCTGGTCCCCCTGCTGAGGATCCACACGAGGCGACTGTAGCAGAAACCGCTGATGAGCAAGGGCACCCCAAAAAGAATCACGGCCATCTCCAGCCGGACGGGCAGCAAAAAGGCCAGCTGGTCCTCCTGGAATTCCAGGTAGCAGGTCCCGTTGGATCCCTGGCTGTGGGATTGGTCCCCAGAGAATTCAACGACGTAGACCACGCTGCAGTGAGAAGCCGCCAGGAGCCAGCAGATGCCACTGACCAGGGTAGCCTGGCCCAGCCTCGGCCGCGTCTTGTACCATATCGGGTAGGCCACGCTCAGGAAGCGCTCAGTGCTCACGGCTGCCAGGAAGAGGGATGTGAGATAGATGCTGGTGAAGAAGAGGAACCCGGACAGTGGGCAGAGGATGAAGGGCAGCGGCCAGCGCATGCCACTGGCCGCCTCCACCATGCGGAACGGCAGGAAGAGCAGCAGGAGCAGGTCCGAGAGGGTCATGTTGAGCAGGAGAATGTCCACCGCCACCGGGTGGCGCCGCAGCTTGCCCACGAAGATCACCAGGGCCATCAGGTTGAGCGGGAGCCCCACAAGGAAGGAGAAGAGGTACACAGAGAAGTACAGCCAGTGGTTTCCCGGGAAGAAGAACCTGTCTGGGCTTGTCTCCATGGTCACAGCCACTGGTAAGAGGGGGAGAGGTGAGTGCAGGAGTCCAGGGAGGGGTCTTTCTGTCCCTCACCCATCAGCCAGGAACTCTGTCACCAATGCCAGCCCCACCCCCACCGTAGCACAGCCCCACATACTTTTCCAGGCAGGATCAGCCAGCCTGCCTCCGGGGACCTGCCCTTTCTCCTGTCACTCCCCCAGCACAGAAAGCACCCAGGTGCTCCTCCAGCCCCGTGCTCACCTGCTTCTTTGAAGATGCAAGCCCCCCGCTGCAGGTCACCTTGCTCTCCTCTCCAGAACAAGTGCTCTGAGCTCTTTATCTGGCAGAAATGCTAAAGACCTAGCAGTGCCCGTGACGTCACTCACTGTGGAACACAAGCACAAAAGATGCCTTGAGCTCTGTTCCCAGGGCTGTGTCCCTATGCAAAAAAGAAGAGCAAGTTCCACCATGGGCCTCCTCCTGAGCAGCCTCAGCCGGGATGTCCCGTCCAGGCCCATGCTCCGATGACGCCGTGGTCCTCTCTCCTCTTTTCCACTTGATTTTGGTCTGTTTTCTCTAAGAATGGCACTTCTCCAGTTTGCCTTGTAAGGGCAGGAAGTGTGATGTGATGATGGAGGGCTGGGCTCTGGAACTGGCTTTGTGACTCGCCAACTTTGTGATTTGGGGCAAGTGTCCCCCTTCTGTGTCCCCTTTCTCATCTCGAAAACAGGGATGGTTATAGAAACAGAGTCACAGATTAAAACATGAACACAGGCCAGGTGCCTCCAATGGAGCCTGGAACTGTCCCTGCCACAGTCCCTGTCATGATGCAGGCTTGACGATGATGACGATGATGATGATGATGACGAAGACGATGGTCACAGCGACAGAGGTGGCCAGGCTGCTACCGGCTTCATCCTGGTGGGCACGAGATCCATAGCAGGCCCTCTGTTCCTTAGGGTATCACTGCTTTATCTCACTGTGTGAAATCCTTCAGCCTCTCCACGGGGAAGTGACTTGCTCCAGGGCATAAACCTCATTAAGTATGACCACCAGGGTTCAAAGTCAAGTTCTCTCTGGCTTCAGAGATAATGCATTTATTCACTTAAATACTGAGGGAGCACAATGTGATGCCATTTCACACCCATTAGGGTGACTATCATCCAAAAGTCAGACAGTTCCAAGCACTGAGCAGCCCAGGGGAGGAAACCAGGGCTCTCATCTGTTGCTGGTGCAGCCACTTTGGAAAGCAATTTGTCAGTTTCTTAAAAAGTTACCCTAAGGCCCCACAGTCCCACTGCAGATATTTACTTAGGAGAAATGGAGCCCCCTGTGCACAAAAGCTTGCTCCTGAATGTTCCTACAAACAGTGGAAACATCACGGGCTGTCCGTCAACCTGTGAACGGATAAACAGACGGACACATCCGCACAATGGCGTTCTATTTGGCGATGACAAAGAATGAACCACACACTGTGGCCAGGGTGAACCTCAAAACCACCATGCTGAGAGTGGCAAGCAGACATAAGAGACCACACCATATGTGATTCCATTTATAAGAAACGTCTAGAAGAGAGACTTTTTTAGAGACAGAAAGTGGATCAGCAGTTGCCTGGGGGCTGAGGGAGGAAAGGATTAATTGTAAATTAATTGTAATAAATTGTAAATTAATTGAGCTTGAGAGATCTTATGGGGTGGGGAGCAGGGTGATGAGAGCACCCTGAAGTCAATTTACTAAAGATCATTGCCTTGGAGACTTGGCAGGGGTGCCTTTTATATGCAAATGATATCTCAAGTTGTTAAAGGTACAGCCCTGAACAAAGTTTTAGTTGTGGTGTCCTAACATCTGGTGAGGAGCCAAATGAAGAGGGAAGTTTGCTGAAGACATCAATACCTGAGAGGTACAGAAGGGAGAGGGGAACAGGAAGGGAAGGAGGAGGTACTGGAGTTTGAATCAGAACAAGATATATTCCATGTCGGGTGTGGTGGCACACGCCTGTAATCCCAGCAGCTCGGGAAGCTGAGGCAGGAGGATTGCAAGTTCAAAGCCAGTCTCAGCAAAAGTGAGGCACTAAGCAACTCAGTGAGACCCTGTCTCTAAATAAAATACAAAGTAGGGCTGGGGATGTGGCTCAGTGGTTGAGTGCCCCTGAGTTCAATCCCTGGTACCATCCCCACAAAAAAAAAAAAAAGATACATATTCTATGCATGTATAATTATGTCAAATACATCCTACTGCTGTGTATAACTAAAAAGAATCAATTTAAAAAGAAAGATGCAGAGAGACATCTCAGAGAACATGCCAGAAGAAAGGCTGATATACAACTCGACCTCCTGGGCTCAAGGTGAACAGAGGAAACTGGGGCAAGTCCTGCAGGGCATCACAGGACCAGGGAGGAACTGCATTCTCCCCCAAGTGGGAAGAAGCACGGGTCGCTGGGAGCAGCGGCCCAGCACCTCGCTGATGCTCCAGAGCAGCGAGACTAGAAGGCTGTCCCTGGCACTGTGAGGGTGGGCAGAGGGGCCTCCTGGGCTGGAGTTTGGGTTTTTACTAAAATTTGCTGATGTCCCCCCTGCACAGGGACCGAGTTTATTTCTGACTTTGGTAAAAAGTTATTTAACCTCTCTAGCCTGTTTCCATATTTATAAGATAGGGTTCTAGAACATTCTTTGGAGAGCTATTATGGGCATTTATTCTTTCATTCAGCAAACATTTATGGAGTGCCTGTGATGTGCCCATCGCTCTTCTAGACACCTGTAGACACTGAAGCGTGCCAAGAGACCATTGGGATAGCCCAGTTTGTACATGGCAGCCACATAGCCCCATAGGGGCTCTATGAACATCGGTGGCATTATTGAACAAATTTGATTCCCATTCCTCCCCTCATTAGAGCAGATGCCCAGGTCTTCTACAGGTACTTTTCTCTGTCTTCCCCCTTGAGGGCCACTCTTTACCCTTCCCAAAATGGGTCACCAATACAGGTATTATCCTGACACTCCAGGTTTTCCCCTGACCCTCAGGGGAGCCTGCTTGGAAAGATCACATCGGACTCATCCCTCTTCTTTGCTATAAGCCTTGGGCAAGTTTCCTTGGGCCAGATGTGATACACCTGGCCCCAACAGAGGCTACCCCATGCAGGCCTTCTGAGCCAAGCGGATAAGGCACCCTTTTGGGGGAGTGCCACCCTGCACCAAGGGGCGCTACTGAAGGAGCGGGTGGTGTCTTTGTTGAAATTAAAATGAGAGGCTCCTTCCCTTGATTGGAAGCAAGGCAGGCACACAGCTTAGTGAGCCCAGCACGGGCTAGTAGTCAGTGTGTGTCCCCTCTGCCTGTCGCCCCTGTGCAATGTCACCTGGCTAAATCCAAGGGTTTTGTGATCTGGACACCGTGGCATATACCTTGGTCCCAGCTTCTTGGGAGGCTGAGACAGGAGGATCGGTTGAGCACCAGAGTTCAAGGACAGAGTTCAAGGCCAGCCTGGGCAACAGAGCAGACCCTGCCTCTTAAAAAATAAAGGGAGTGGGAGGGTTGTGTGAGGATAAAATGAGAAAATGCTCATTATAAAGCACTGGGCATGGTGGCTGACCTGGGCCCCTTCTCACCAAGCATCTTTTCTGGGCCAGCTTCCCATTCACAGTGCGAATGCTGCCCCCTTGTGAGTTCCAAGTGGTATGGCAGCCTCGTTATCTTGGCTAGTGCCTCCATCTCTTCTTTAGAAATTAAAATGTTCTTTCCTCACAAATGGCTGCAGGGTAGCATTGCACGGTGGTGTTCCTCCGGATTAGAAGCCAGACGTCATCCTCCTAGTGGGCAGGAAGGACGTGAGGAGTGAGGCAGAGGCAGGAGGCAAGCTGACGTGTGGAGGTACCAGCCCCTGGCCTCCACTCCTCTCTCTGGACGGGGTGTTGTCCTCTCCAGGCTTAGCTCTTCCCACAGGTGGCGCTGGGGATGGCTCCTGGCAAGGCTGCCCAGCAGTTCTGATGGGGCAGCCCTGACATGGGGCCTGGAGAAGCCCCTTTCTCCCAGCAGAAGCTGCTATTTCTGGAATGTTCCTCCTTGCATTCTTGCCACACACACCGTCCCGCGGCCAGGACCTGCTCCCAGGTAGCCAGTCACCAGTGGATTGAGCACCACACTCCAGGCCCCTGTGATGAGCCCCAGTTTTCGCCACTGGGCCCCCATGTCGGGGCGCAGGAAGCCGGCCACGTTGGAGGCGTTGTAGGGCCCCAAGCAGAGTAGCAGCGTGAGCAGGGCCCCACCGGCCACCCAGGCTGCCCTGACCTTCCGCCTGTGGCTCAGGCCCGAGTGGGCCAGGGCCCGGAGGCAGCCCACGTAAGAGAACGCGGTGATGATCAGGGGCACAAAGAAGAGCAGGAGGGAGAGACTGAGGCGGGCGGGGCCGGCAGACGCCGGGTCCCAGGCCTCCAGGCAGACGGGGGAGCCGTTGGCCACTCTGTTGATGCCCAGGGAGCTGGTGGTGTTGTCCAGCCAACCTCCCGGAGCCTCCAACCCCAAGACCAGCCCCAGATGACAGAGGACGAGGGCCCATATCACCACGCAGACGCCCCAGGAGTAGCGCGGCCGCCGGAGGGCTTGGTAGCCCAGGGGGAAGGCTGCGCCCAGGTAGCGGCCGGCGCTCAGAGCAGCCAGGAAGCCCCCGCCAGCGTAGAGCGGGGCGAAGTGGACCAGGGAAAAGGCAGGGCACAGCTGGACCGGCAGAGGCCAAGTCCCCGAGGCCAGGGCCTCCACGGCCTTCAGGGGCAGAGAGATGGCCAGCAGGAGGTCAGAGCAGCCCAGGTGGAGGGCGTAGACCAGGCTGGGAGTGAGGCGGTGCCGGGCGTGGGAAGCCGCGCTTCTGATGGCCAGGACATTGAGCGGGAAGCCCAGGGCAAAGGCGGCCACATACAGGGCGAAGGAGAGCTGCGGAGGCAGGTTCATGAGGCAGCCGCTCCTGCACTCCGCTTGGTCCCACTTGGTCTTCAGATCGCGACCAGAGAGCTGGCTTCGGCGCTGCCTGGGGTGAGGCAGAGGAAACCGAGGCCGCTGAAGGAGGTGGCAGCCAGGCAGCCGTGGAGCCAGATTCAGCAGCAAGGACTCAGCTGTCTTTCCACCATGTCACCTCTTGCAAAGAAGAGGACAGCGGTGTGGTAACAGGAAAAAACAGCCAGGCATGCAGTCAAGGAGGATGGGCGGCCTCTGGCTCCCTTAGGCTCTGGGGAGGGAAGGGATTTAGAGAGGTCAGAGTGGCTTCCTTGGGGATGGGTCACCCTCCCGAGCTCACTCCCTGCCAGTGGGAAGCCCGCAGGGCAGGTGCAGAGGTGAGGGAGGACCCTGGGCTTGGATATGAGCTACAGGGAGCAGAGGAGGTCCCCAGGGGAGAGCCCAGGGTAAGCCAGATCCCATCCATGTCATGGGGGAGGAACTTAGCAGATCTCAGGGGACACCCCAGGCAGAGGACCTGGGGGATCATTGGTGAGAAGAGGAGCCACAGAAAGAGGGACTCACCTCTTGGTACTGCCAGATGTCTCTGAGGCTCAGGAGTCCCCTCACTGGGTTGCCAGAGGATGCCCGGGATGGGCAGTGAGCTGGAAGAGAGGAGGGCGGGGTGGCAGGGCCATTAGCCTCAGGCACTAGCAGCTTGGGTGAGCAGCTAATGGGGCATCCCGGGCTGGAGCGAGGCTGGACTGCCAGAGGCGAGGGGCTAAGAAGGGAGCCAGGATAGGAAGGGGCTTTTTTCCGAGTGATGCATGTGTAGCCGAGATTGTGGGGGTCCACCAGAGGACAGCTCTATGCCTAGCCACTGACGGCTCAAACTGCCCCAGGGGCTACGTCTTCCCCAGTGCAGGAGGAACACTTGGGCCAGACCCCTGCCTTATTGGCTCATTCCAAGTGACTTTAGTCACCAACCCATTGGTGTGCAGCAATTTATGCTGGGATGTCAAAAGCGTCATTCCAAGGGAGAGCTTACCCTGGCTGTGGGCATGCTCCCTCTCCTTCTCTCCCTAGCTTCATGACAGCAGCTGCTGACCTTTGCAGTGTTGGTAAAAGACAGGAGAAGAAGGAAGAGACAAGCAGAGTCCGTGTGGTGGGCACTGGAGTAACTGGGCTGTGGCCTCAGCTCAGCCTCTCTGGACAGCGAGGATGTCCAGGCCGATTCCTCCCCAGGTTGCTTGGGTAGGGACATTGGACAGTGCTCCCTGGGGACAGGAGTTACCTCCAGCAGGTTGCTTAGCTTGCTTTTCTCAACCCTGGGGAAAATGCCTGGCCATTTACCTCCCCATGGAGGTCATCTTGACCTTCCAGAAAAATCTCCTAAGCAAGACTTAAAATGGCTCCAGTCTGGCTCTCTCTCAAATGTGGTCCACATCTGGTCAGTGGAAAAGAAGGCTCTCAGTCTCTCTGATTCTCTGACCATGCCTGCACCTCTTCATCTGTCTCTGTCTCTTTCTGCCTCAACTTCTCAGCTTCAGTTTTCTTAAGGGTGTGTGGTAGTCTCCAGGCCACCCTGCCCCTTCCAAATCCCCCGTCCAAATAATGAGTCCTCTCACCAGGCTGCAGGAGTGAGCAGCATGGGGTTCTCAGCACATCAACAACTCCCTCCAGAAGAATTATCCAACTTCCTTTTTAGACCTCAGATTCTATTATTATTTTTTTTTTTCCTTTTGAGCGGGTACCAGGGATTGAACTCAGGGGCACTTGACCACTGAGCCGTATCCCCAGCCCTATTTTTTATTTCAGTTAGAGACAGGGTCTCACTGAGTTGCTGAGTGCCTGGCTGTTGCCGAGGCTGGCTCTGAACTTGCCGTCTCAGCCTTCCCAGCCGCTGGGATTACAGGCCTGCGGCTCTGTGCCTGGCTTAGACCTCACATCTTGCTTGCACCTCTCCAATCCTTCATCTGTGGCAAGGCGCCTCACTTTGAATGGAGAAGAACGTGCCACCGACTGCTTAGTATTTTATCTTTGGCAAATACTGAGAAATGGACAGAAAGGAGAAAAGAATCAAGAGTGCCATTTTACCTCCTGGGACAACTATTTAGGAGAAAAGCAGAGCTCTAGGGGAGACGTGGGGTCTTCCAGATCTCTGCTTAGCCCCCCATCACCTGGCTGCTGGGGCCGCTGCCCTGCGCCACTCCTCAGTGGGCCTTCCTCCATCTCTCCCCCCAAACCCACCCCCTCTCCCCCTCCATATCCATCTTGCATTGTGTAAATCCGGAGCCTCTGTGATTCTGCCACATCACATTTGCTGGCCCCTCTGCTAGAAGGCTGGCCTCAGGAGGGCAAAGATTCTGGGCTGCTTTGTCCATTGTGTGGCACCCTGCAGGGGCTCTGGGCACTGGGAGGACGGTAAAACCCAACCCGGGCGGGGGTGGGGTGGGGGTGGGGTGCCTGTGTTCTGGAGTCCCTGGCCGCCTGCTCTTCACGCCTCAACAATGCCTGTTGACAGTCCCATCTCATGGTCAATGGGTCATGAAGTAGGTTTATGTCAGCAGCTGGGCTCAGGGACAGGAGGGAAGGCTCCCGGTGGTTGCCAGGGAGCCTGAGCCAGGCTTGGTGAGGCCCAGGGCTGCCTTCAGCTCCCTCCAGGTGACTCCGCCCTGAAAAGCTTTGGGGTCCCTAGACTAGACGGAAAGTCCCCAAGGCTGGAAGTGTGTCTTTTTTGCACCCCAACAACCGCCTCTGTGCTGGTGTTCAGTGAATGTCTGCTGCAGGAATGGATGAATGGTCAAATGACACTGGACCTAATCGGGGGGCACAGAAACCCCAAAACGCTCCTTCTTTCATTTAAACAGTTCTTGAAGTCCCACTGTCCTCCAGAAAAGTTAACGATGCTCACAAGAAATCAAACTAGTAGCAAAGAGGGCTTAAGGCAGGGGAGGATCCATGCATTGAGTGAGTGGAGATGGGAGGGGGGACCCGAAAGGAAGGTGGGACCTACTATGTGCCAGGAACTGTATGTCCATCACGTTGGTGGTTGGTTCGCCACCTGCTCCAGCCTTCTGAGCAGAATGGGTCTTAGTCCTGTGGTAAGCAGGTAAATGGGTGAAGAGAACTCAACCTGAGAAGTGACAAGGGGACTGAGGACAGTGACTGGGAAGTGTTGTCTTTTGACAAGTATGTCCCTGAACAGAGAACTGGTGGGGTGACAGTGAAGGACAGGAGAACTGTGCGGCTTCTCCTGGCAGCTGGCCTTTGAGAGGTTCCCCAACTGCAGGTTGTGAAAGAACTTGGTAGATCCCCTTCTTAGAATAGCTGTGAGTAACGAATCGGCTTCCCCCACTTTTTTTTCCTTTTGAATATTCTTCTAGAAATATAAACAAAAGCTGGGTGTGAGAGCACATGCCTGTAATCCCAGTGGCTTGGGAGGCTGAGGCAGGAGGATTGCAAGTTCAAAGCCAGCCTCAGCAACTTGGTGAGGCCCTAGGCAACTTAGGAAGACCCTGTCTCAAAATAAAAAAATAAAAAGGGCTGAGGATGTGGCTCAGTGGTAAAGTGTGCCTGGGTTCAATGAAGGACTTCTGGCCTCTCTGCTAGGCCTCCTATAAAGTGATTCGGGCGTATTTAAGGTTAGACTTCACTTCCCGCCATGAGCCACCTGCATGGTACGGAGTGCCATCCTCCTTTTACGGTTGCAGAAACTGAGCTGCAGGCAGGTTGGTGAACTCTGCCCAAGATCATTCAACTGGTGAAGCAGAAGAATCAGAGTCAAACTCAAGTTCGCCCAACTGAAAAGCCGGTGTGCTTCTCCCAGCCAGACAACTGGACCCTCCGATCGGCTGATTTGATCATGAGATAACTGTGACTCTTTTCCTTCCCCCTACACCCCACAATGCCATCCCCAGCTCCCCGTCCCCACTCTGACTCCACAGATGGGAAAGAGCTCACTGGCTCCTGGAAGTGGCCTCTGTGCCATTTTTATTATGCAACTCTTTGTACATTATCTTTGTTCTTCTCAGTGCATCTGCGCAGTCCACGAGACCCCGAGGGCAGGGGCTGTCACCGCAACGTCCTCCACGGAAGGCTTAGCTGGCTCGTAGACAGTTTCTAGAGGAGAAGCCAGCTGGGGACAATGCCTCTGTCTACCTCATTTCTGTCCTTCCCTGGGATTTCCCCAGGAGCAGAAAGTGAGCATAGGATTAGTGGGTGGCAGTGGGGGTGGGGAGGTCCAAGGGACAAGGAAGACAAAACAGTGTCAAATCAATCCCAGGGCAGTCGGGGAGGGCTCAGGAGGGGATGGATGGTGGCAGTGTCTCGGGTGTGGGACACAGGGGGCTGTGCAATCCTGGACGGGTGCATAGGTGAATTTCCGGGTGGGAAGGAGAATGGAAAAAGATCAGGAAGGTCAGGGTTACCAGTCCTGAGAAGGAAAATGGCTCTGAACCAGACAGACACAGGTTCTCCTCAGTGATTGTGTGTGTGTGTGTGTGTGTGTGCAGGGAGATTAAAAAGGTCCTGTGACTTAGCAGCTGAACAGCTGCAGCTGGGGATACCCTGGGGTTTCCTTGGCCCCATTGGCTCTGGGCACATCCAACGCAGCCTGTGTCCTGCTGTCAGTGCTTGAGAGTCACATAGTCCACATCTTCTGGTGCCCGAGGCCGCTCCCCAGTCCCAAAATGAACGAGCTCCGAGTAATGAATCCCGTCATCTTCTGGAAGATTTGGAGCCACATTCTCGTAGTCACCCTGGGAAAGCTACACGGGGGTAAGCCTGGCCTTGCAATGGGGGCCAGCCTCCCTCCACCTCCCCCACTTTTCCCTTGTTCCACTCGGGGAGGGAGGTCTAAAAGCCCACACAAGAGTCCCCTTGTCTAGAAACTAGCTGTCTTGGCCTTTGGTCACAGAGGTCCCTACCCTGGCTCCAACCACAGCTCCACCCATGTGTCCCCCAGATTGCATGGGAAATTCAATCCCCAGATTCGTATGCTAATGTGTGTGGAGGTGTGACCTTTGAGAGGTGATTGGATTAATGGGTTGATGGGTGACTGAGAGAGTGGCTTTGTCATAAAATTGAGTTCTCTCTGGCATGCACCCCCCTTGCTGAGCAATGCCTCGTGCCACCTCAGAACTCTGCAGAGAATCCCCATCAGCAAGATGGCGCTCACCAGATGTAGTCCCTTGGCCTTGGATCTCCAGAACCATGAACCAAAATAAATCCTTTTCCTTTATATATTACCCTGTCTCGGGTATTGAGTGATAGTAACAGAAAACAGACTAAGGCCACAAACCTCCCCCAACATCTAGCTTTAGCCACACTGACATCTACTCAAGTCCTTCCCCTGTGGGGCTCCCAGCTGAGACCAGGACCCAGGCCCCCAACCTTCTCAGCCTTGGCCTCTTACCACATGACACTTCTGCACCACTGAGTAAGTGACCGTGTCTTCATTATCTGGGAGAGATCCTTGTGTTTCTGAGGGGCCTGTACCTCTGAGAGGGAGAACAGATGGAGAGCCATCAGTGAAGTGCTTCCTGTGAACTCTCTTCCTTCTCCCGACTCCCTTAGTGCCCCCAGCAGCACCCCAACCTCAGCCCTTTATGGAAAAACACAACTCGCTGTCTTCCACGAGCCCCATGCACACAGTAGGGGCTAATAAAAAACATGTGCCGGATGAATGAGCATGCATGTGTATGAGTCACCGCGCCTTAGCCTCCGTGACAAAGGTTGGCTCTGGGCACACATGCTCTTGGCTTGTAGAAACAGGTCCCGTTGTGAGGCCTGTTACTTAACAGAGGTTGTTATAGAACAGGAATGAGGTAATAGGTAGATGGTGTCAGGAGGTGCCTGACACAGAGCTAGGACACTATTTTCCCCCTACATCCCTCCCAGGCTGCAGGACCCACCCGTCCTGTACCCTCAGTACCCAGTTCTTGGAGTGTCAGTCTCTGGAAAGCGCAGAGTAGCATAATTAGTGCCGTCTTCCATCATTGGATTGTAGCATCCCAGGGAGTGGGGCCCTTCAGAGAGAAGGGTCCTTCTAACCTGGGAGAGAGGCAGGGTTGCAGTTCTGACTCTCTCTCCCCACCCTCCCCCAGCCTCTGACCCCATAGAGGACATTTTTTTGGTACCAGGGATTGAACTCAGGGGTACTTGGCCACTGAGCCATATCCCTAGCCCTATTTTGTATTTTATTTAGAGACAGGGTCTCGCTGAGTTGCTTAGTGCTCGATTTTGCTGAGGCTGGCTTTGATCCTCCTGCCTCAGCCTCCTGAGCCACTGGGATTACAGGTGTGCACCACCACGCCTGGCCCCAGAGGACTTTTGATCACTTTTCTTTAGCTCTTCACCTCGGTTCCTCACTCCACTTTAAGGGCTGCCCTGCATTTGATCTTCCTCCCATCCTACCTTTTTATTCCTCACAAAGAAGCTCCGACCATTGGAATTTTCCTGAGGCCCCTGTTGGCTCCGAGTCCTCTTCCAGCTAAGGAGAAGAGACAGGCTTGGTGGGGGTCAGGGAATGAGAACAGGACCCTGTGGATTCAGGAGACTGGAGGCTTTGGGCCTGAGTAACTGGAAATGGGACGAGCCAAGGGAGGGGGCAGCAGGAAGAGCTCACTTTTGCTGAAGCTTCACCCCCCAGATGACCAGGATGAGGATGGCCAGGCAGATGCCAATTCCCATGGTCGTTCGCCTGCCGATGGTCTCCGGGCTATCTAGTAGAGAAAAGAGTCGCAGGTTCGCTCTGCACTCCAGCACCCTTGACTTATCTCTGCATCCAGCCCCCGTTCTTCTTCCCAGCACATCTCCTCTGTGCATGGGAGAGTGAGGCAAGAAAGATGGAGAAGGGCCCTTGGTTAGAAGAAGGATCTCTGGTTAGGAGGAAAGCACTGTCTTTCCCCCAAGCAGGAGTTTTCTGCAGGCCTGGCCCTCACAGAGTGCAGCATCCTCAGCCTTCTAAACAAGTACAACTTTCCAGGCATTTTGGACACACTATCAGCCCTTAAAATACACAGGTTCTTCGACTCAGCAATTCCACCTAGGCATTTGTATCTTGTGCCTGTCCTTGTAGGCATGCCCAAAACAAGGGTCTACCTGCTCAGCCTTGAAGAGGGGGCTGGGGAAACTAAATGGGCAGCATCCATTCAGGGGACACAGTGCAACCCTTAGAAAAAGAGGCAAGTCTCAAGTTGTCCAAAAAGTGGAGACCCAGGGCATGGCGTTTCTATGCAACGCGCCAGTTACATTTCCTGAGAGAGGGACCCAGCAGGAGCTCATGAAGCCTGGAAGATAGGTGCAGCCTGAGGGAATCCTGGACAGAGGATTCCCTGTCCAGAAGGGGAGGTAGATGGAGAGGCTCCCGTGAAGCAGGACAAGGCGATTGCTCCAGCGGTGGCAGCAGGAAGCTATGGATCAGGGAGTGTAGCTGGGCTGCTCTGGGCAGGAACTGGGAGGGAGGAAGCGGACTGTAAAGACTGTGATCTAGCAGCATAAGGCTTAGTGGTGGGAGGAGCTTCAAGCGCAGTCAGCACCAGAAAGGAGCCTGAGAAGAAACAGAAAGGGGCCTTACAGTAGATGGTGAGGGTGCTGGGGGGTGACTCGCCCTCGCCCAGCTGGTTGACCCCCTTGCACCAGTAGGAGCCCGAGTGCTCGACCTTCACAGGATCCAAGCTCAGCGTCTGGCCAGAATGCTGGAGGTCTTGGTTATTCCAGTCAAACCAGGTGTACTGTGAGATGGGAGGGTTGGCATCGCTCTCACAGGTCAGGGCTGCCTTTCTCCCTTCCATCACTCTGTCTCCTGGGGTAATGGACACCCACAGCCTCCGAGGTGCATCTGAAAGGGGAAAACAAGTCAGGGTCCAGGTAGCTGGTCTCCGGGTCTCTGCTGGTCTCCACTCTCAGCCTCCAGCGCCAGCCACTCACATAGCACTTGCAGCCTCCAGGCCTCAGATGCTGACTGTCCTATGGAATTTTTGACCAAGCAGCTGTAATTTCCAGCATCTTCCGGGGAGACGGAGTCAAAGTTCAGTTCTCTTCCTTTTGCTTCCAGAAGACTTCCGTTTTTCTTCCAGAAGAAGTGGACTTCTTCCGGGTGGCTCTTTGAGAAGTGGCATTGAAGTCGGACCTGGTTCCCAGCATGAATCTCTGACAGGGAACTGATCTGCAGGACCTTCACCTCCTTGGGAGCATCTGCAGGGCCAGGGCTCATGCTGACCTCTCAGATCTCTTCTCCCTCTGTTGTCTCCAGTACTTCCCGACCCCTTGGTCTCAAGCCTTTCTCCCACCCCTCAATTCTCTGTTGAAGACTGTGACCCAGGTCCCACCTCCTCGCCCTTCCATCCCAGATCCCATGGGGCCACCTCCCAGGTCCCCCCACCCTGTCACTCACACTGGACATCCAGGTTGATGGGAGAAGCTGGCGAACACCACTGGTTACAGGCGGAACAGGAGATGGGTGGGGTGTCCCAGGCAACGTTCTGAATCCTCATCACCTCATGGGATGGCTCATTCCACAAGTGTTGGGGGCTCCACTCATACCGGGTAACTGTTGGGTTACTGGAGTTGTACCTACAGCGCAGGGTCACGCTGTCTCCTTCTCGAATCGGTGTGGGGCTTTCAATCACAGTGGTTACCCCCTTGGGGGGATCTGGGAGTAGACCAGAGAGGTGAATAAAGTAAGGCCAAGCCATGATGCCTCTTCCTGTCTGAATCCCCGGCCCACCTGCCCCTGTATTCACACAGCTGCTCCGTGGGGGGAAATCCCTGCTTCTCTGTTGCACCTGTGTCTATTTGACCTGGCTGTGACTTGAAGGAGGACAGTACAGTGGTTAAGAGCTCTGCTCTGGAGTCAGACTGCCAGATCCTGCCACAGAAAGTTGTGTGGCTGCGGCTGCAGGCCTCGGTGTGCCCCTCCTGTCCAATGGGGTCCTGAGAAGATCACACCTTGCAGAATTCTCTCAAGGATGAGCTAAGAGGATGCCTTAGAGCAGTGCTCAGTAAACCACCAATCAATGCCAGGGATGCCTAGAGTTTGGGGATCCCTATCCATCATGTGACATTTCAGGGCCCACAGATCTCATGATCTCAGTGACTCAACTTCTCCAGTGCAACCCTTAGAAAAGAGGTAAAAGAAGTTCTACCGATGGAGAGGTAATGAGACACTTGCTCCAGTTCTTGAAACTTTCAGGACCTTTTCTGGGACCGAGCTGCTGCCTGGCGCCAAGTCTCTCTGTTCCTGGTGGAGCCCAGCATCAGTTATGCATTCATTCAACAAACATCTGAGCACCTGCCAAGACTCAGGCCTTGGGCTAGGCAGATGCTGGGAATACAATTGTGATCCCTGAGAAACTTGTGTCGGAAGAGCCTGGCTTCTGCTTGTTCTCCATTCTAGGACCCAGGGACCCCCTCTGCCCCCTCTGTCTTCCTCCTCCCCCTACTTTCCTCTTCTCTCCCAAGAACCAGAGGCTCCGTGACTGCTCACATTGGACGTCCAGCTCGGCTTCCTGGCCAACCTGTCCAGAACCAAGCCTGTTCTCTGCCACGCAGGCGTAACGCCCTGCATGCCAAGTAAGGACCTGGGCGATCCAGTATTTCTCTTCTGTCACTCCTGGCACTTCCTTCCCATTGTGATACCAGGTATAATTTGTTGGAGGAGGGTTGGCCGGGGACGTGCAAACCAGCTCTACTGACTGTCCCTCCTTAGCAGGTGTGTGGTGGATGTAAACCTCGGAAACTGTCGGGGGATCTGGAAGAAGGGGCAGAGGTGAGGCGAGAGGTGAGGGGAACCCTGTGACATGAGCAAGCAGCCACTTTCACCTCCACCCTCAGCTCCGAGGAGGCTCACACAGCACTTTGAGGGCCACTTCTTCCGACATTCCTAAGCCTATGTGATTGGAGGCCTGACAGCAGTACTTCCCACCACTGTCCTTGGTCACTGAGGACAGAGTTAGCGAGAGATTCTTCTCCCCCAGGAGGGTCCCGTCCTTGAGCCAGGATACAGTGCCATGCTCTGGGTTGCTGCTGGTGACCTGGCACGTCATGGTCACGGACGCCCCTTCCATTACAGTGGTTTCATTGGGAAAGACCTTGATCTCCAACTTCGGGGTGTCTGGAGGAACAGAGGGGTGATTGGGGAGGGGACTGGGACATGTGTAGTTCCCTTGTGGACCCAGGTGACTGTCAAAGCCTCCTCACTCCATTCTCCTTCCCCCTTCTCCACATGTCCTCTCTCTATGGTCCCCACCTGCATCTGCCAGGATTCCTGTCATTCAGAGCTTGTCAGTGCCTGCTTGAAGCCATCCAGTGGATTCCACACTTAGAATAAAACCCCAAACATGTCCCACAGTGCAGGAGACCTAGAGTCCTCTCCTGCCAGGTGGCCCTCGAATGCTGTGAAGTCCAACCTCTCAGGCCCTGGGCCTCATCACACACACACCGGGGTCTCACCCCGCGGCTTTTGTACCTGTTCTTTCCTCTCCCTGGAACCCCCTTTACCTGCCCCAGTCTCTCTCTCCATTCAAGGTCACCCTACATATTCACCTTCTTCAGAGAAGTCCCCGTCCATACCGTCACCCCCCAATCCTAACCCTGCTTTATTTATTTTTTTCTTAAGACACATACAACTTCTACAATTAGGTTCTGTGTTTCTTTGTTAATCTATTTCTCGTCTGCCTGTCTCACTGCAAGGCTAGCTTCATGTGGGCAAGAACTGGGCTCCCTGCTATATCCACCCTTCCAGCTGGCGGCCACTGTAGGACCCGGCACCTGGTAGATGTGCAGTGAATATTTATTGAATGAATGAATGAATGAGGCACAAAATAATGATATGAAAAGAATTCCCACAAGGGGTGAAAGAGAAACCCAACCAGATGATCCCACGCTATGGTGAGGATGGATCGTTTTATTTCTGTTAGGCCAAAGCAGAGGCTGAAATGAATCTGTGTCCCGAAATTCCAGGGCTGAGAGGGGAGTGGGGGGAGAGGCCGGGCAATGCCACGCTGCAGGTGATGGGCAGCAGATGGATTGTGCATCCTTCTGTAAGGTAAGGCTCCTCTTACCCTTCAGGGGCTCGATGGGGCATAAGGGAGAAGGTGACAAGGACTGCGTCACTCCCGTGGGAACATGGTGTGGGGGGGACTCACGCTTCACGTTCAGCTGCACCGTCTCTTCAGAGAGCACTTCGGCAGAATGCCACACCTGGCAGGTCAAGTTCTTCCCGTGGTGAGTCCACTCCGGTTTAAAGTCGATCTGGCTCTTGGTAGAGACAGTCTGGGTGGTAGGTGAGGAGGAGATGGTGGAGGAAGCAGGGGTGAAGGGGAGCCCCTTCAGGGCCCACCGCAGTTCAATGTCGTATCCAAAGCAGGTGAAGTTCAACAAGCAGGTCACAGTGACTGTCTGGGACTCCTGAAGTTCTGGAGGGAGCTGGATGCGAGGTGGAAAAGGAGATTCTGCAAAAGAGTGGGGACAGTTCTAGAGGCCTGGGGACCTGGATTCCATCCCAGTCTTTTATACCTGTATTTAGAGGTCCTGTTCCAAAGAACCTGGGCAGGAATCCTTGTCAGCTACCTCTTGGCTCAGTTGAGATACTCTCTGTCATTCCCTGGGGACCCTGAGCCTCTCTGGGGATGTATTTCACATTTCTTTCTCTCTGACTTGCTGATGTTTGCTTTCTAAATGGCTTCAAGTTCATGACTCTCTCCACCCCTAGGTGAATTGTACAAGTTTAGTTCAATGTGTATTTCTTAGCTTTGGTGACACCTTTCTATTTGTTCAATGGCTTCAATATGGGAGGCACCCAGGCACCGCGTCCTTTTAGTAGGTGAGCCTGTGTACAGCGAGCCCCTCCCCAGTGGGAACACTCTTCAGACAGCAATGTCTGAGTGACAGCTCTCCCCCTAAACACACAGCTGCTTAGAACCGACCACCAAAGAAACAGGCATGACGTGACCACTCTCACCAGGGCAGAGGCCCCTTGCTGTGTTTGATGGGTCACATCCACACCCTGCATGCGTGTCATCCGGCCTTGAGAAGTTAATTAGAATTGGTCCCCAACATTAACACAAGGGGAGTTTTCGTTTGAAAATTCATCTCTCCATCTAAGACCAGAAGCTCTGGCTACCTGGAACCCAGATGGCTAGAATGGGCGGGGGCTGAGGGGCAGGGACAAGTGCTCACACTGCAGTTGGCCCATCTTACGCTGCCACATCACATAGCTAGGGCATCCCTTTGCCTGACCTCTGCAGGAACTCAGTTTGTGACTCCTGTCCCAGTGGTTGATTCTGTCTAGCCCCCCCTCCTTATTCTGAAGTAAGCAGACACTTTCCCCCAAGGCCTTACTAGAGATACTTAGGTTTACGGTTTCCATCCATTTGTCGTCTTTTGTCATCATCCTCAGCCCCAGCCGGCCGCTGTCATTGACCAACAATGACTCGATGCTCAGGGTGCAGTTCTTATTTGAGTCTCCCAGGAACCGTACCCTTCCCTGCTGAGAAGGGGACTTCCTGTTCATTGTGTTATTATAGAGGACAGTCCCCACGTAGCATTTGGTGGTTTCGTTGTACTCAGGATTGTGGAACACGACAAGCCTGTCCACTTGCGCATCCGTCTTTGGGATTTTGTAGGTGCAGGGAATCCAGACGCAGGCCCCTTCCCAGGCATAGAAGGTGGCGGGGTGTTTGAAGTTCCACAGATTTGAATCAGAGAAAGCCAAATGTTCTGAAACCCATGACAGTGATCAGAAAGCATTATTTAGGGCTACGGAGAGCTTTTGAAGGAATAGAGTTCTCTCTGAAGCTAGAGGGAGACACGGGGAGACCCAGAGGAGCAAGACCAAGAGAGGGAAGCTTCTCTCTCTGTGTGTACACCCTGCCGGCCCGCCCACCCCTCATTTCCTCTTCTCTGACCCAGATCTGTCCTCTTTCTCCAGTGCCCACTGACTGACATCCCAGAACCCAGGTACCCGCCTGGGCCACAGCCCTTACCCAGGAGCAGGAGGAGACAGGGACCGAGGAGATGCATGATGTCGTGTCTGGGCTGGAGCCTGAGTTGGGAAGAGTTTGTCTTTGAGCCATGTGGTCACCCACTTCTGGCCCATCACACGGAGCTCTGACCCCTTGCTCCTGATCCTGGGGGCCACGTCTGGTTGCATTGTGGGGATGTGGGACTTGGATGCTCATGGAGTCTTTTCTGGGTATGCTGTGCTTCTCCTTCAGCCCAAGAGCTTCCTTCCCTCCTTCTTCCTTCTCCCTCCCTCTCTCCCTTCATCGTTCATTCATCCATCTATGCTTTTCTAAAATTCCTGCCCAGTTCTCAGGCTCAGAATAGAGCAGATCCCTAGGCATCTTGAGAGCCAGGCTCCCAGAGTAATGGGGAGCTCTCTTGGGGACTACTGGTGCAGGATTTTGCACAGGGGGAAGACATATTTTGATTTGAAAGACCAGGAAAAAAAAATAGTCATTCCAAAACCAATAATGAAGTTCAAAAACCAAGGAGAATATTTACAGAGAGCTGGAAGGTCTCAGGAGGAGAATATGGTCTAAGGGACCTGCTCATGCATCCCAGGGCTAAGTAGGAAACATCAGTCAATCAAGTGAGGGCAAAGGTCATGTCTTGTCTAAAGATGGTGGCTGTCTCAATCCAGCCGACTGTTGTCCAGTGGGAATCAGCATCCCAGCACTGTCTGACCTTCCAATGTTTCAGAAGAAGGAAAAAGCCACATTTGCACATTTAAATGTCCTGCTTTAAAAACAATACACAGGTGCCGGGGCCTTTGGTGCTATAATCCTAACAACTCAGGAGGCTGAGGCAGGAGAATCGTGAGCTCAAAGCCAGCCTCAGCAACTTAGCAAGGCCCTGAGCAACTCAGTGAGATCCTGTCTCAAAATAAAAAATAAAAAGAGCTGGTGTGTGGTTCAGTGGTACAATTCAATTCCTGGTACAAAACAAAACAAAACAAAACAGAACAATAACAACAACAAAAAGTCCAATATACAGTGCTGGTCAAACAAAACTTATCTGTGGGCTGGAGGTAGCCCAATGCCACCAATTGGCAACTGATATTCTCTCTCTCTCTCTCTCTCTCTCTCTCTCTCTCTCTCTCTCTCTCT